AGCACTCCAGATATTGTTGGACTTAAACTCCAATCATCATCGTTACCCAGCACAGATGGGGGTGGGGGGGAGAATGTTACAGTCCAACGACATCTAGAAGGTAACGCTATCCCCATCGTTGGTCTAGAGTTTCATATACCAGTGATGTCCTACATATTATAATAGCTGCAAGTTGAGTCATGGCAACTGGACTTCTTATTAGGCTGAAACCTTTTGCTACTCAACCAAGTAGTTCTTCAGTCTGAGGAGACCTGGTAGGAGACCCCAGATATATCCTCCACGTTGGTTTCACCTCCCCCTGGTCTGAAAGAAATCCAGTTGCCATGACTCAACTTCCAGATAACCTCATCTGGATGACTAAGCATCTTCACAGATGTATATTATAATGTGATTGAAGTCCTGTGTTGAATCAGTCACAGCAGCTTACAATAAATATGTTATTGGTAACATATTTTCCCCTTACACATTAAAATGGGGGAAACAATTGTAAAATGTTCTTCAAAGAAGCAAGAAGAATACCATATACACATTTTTATAATGCTTGAATACATGCTGGGAGACGGACACAGGCTATTCTTGAGTTCTTATAACCTAAAAATAATAATAACCTTAGAACTGCAGAGCTGGAAGGGACCTTATGGAGCATGAAGTGAAGTCCCTGTCAAAGAGGCACAGTGGAGGATTGAACTCCCAACCTGTAGCTCCACAGCCAGATACCCAAACGACTGAGCCGCTTTCACAGGGAAACTTTGCTGTTACATTACCAATATGTTTGTGATTTTTGTGAGTCAACAGTACACAAAGTTACCCAAAAGAGAAGCCTTGTTACAGAACCTGAGCAACCACTGCTAGTTAAGCTCCAATTCCGTAAGACAAACAATGTGCTGGTGCTCGGTAACTGCCACAGCATCCTGACAGAGAACCCACTCCTCAGAAAAGGAGAAAAACTTAATTTTTGCTGTTTTCTAAACTTTCAGAGATGAAAGGGAGGACACAAAGGAAAATGGGATATTCGCGTACTTAGCAGAATAATTGTGTTCACATATACATAAATGTGTGTATACACACAAATTGTGTGTACACAAACATGCATGCACACATATACATGTGCATCTGAGAATCCATGACAAAACAAGAAAACCCTGCAATCTCAATTCAGCTGAGGGAGCCGGGGTTCTTTCCTAATATCTGCATTTGCACTGAATAAAATGACCAAGCAATAAAGAAGAGCTGCATGCAGCTTATTAGCTCTTACTTTGCTCTTCCTGCTCACATTTGTGACTGGCTGAAAGTACAATCGTGCCCTGCTTTACGATTACCCTGTTTAACGACAAATCCACTTCACGACAATGTTTTTGCGATCGCTTCTGTGATCACAAACCAATGGTTTGAATGGGGTTTTTCCGCTTCGCGATGATCGGTTCCCTGCTTCGGGAACTGATTTTCACGTTACGACGATCAAAAACAGCTGATCGTCGGGTTTCAAAATGGCCGCTGGCTGAAGAAAATGGCTCCCCGCTGTGCTTAGGGACAGATTCCTCGCTGCACAGGCATGGAAAATGGCCATCCCTTCACTGGACGGTGAGTTTTCAGCCCATTAGAATGCACTGAACGGTTTTCAATGCATTTCAATGGGCTTTTTTATTTCGCTTTACGACGTTTTCGCTCTACAGCGATTTCGCTGGAACGAATGGCACCACTGTAGTAGTAATTTACCATGACATCTGAACATAGATCAGTTGCTGTGCCCTCCACAAGGCACCATCCCAAATCAGTATTGTTTGTTTGTTTTTGAGAATCCCAATTCAGGAGTCATGTTAAACAAACCACCCCTGCTTTGTTCAGCCTGTAGGGTAGGTGGAAGAAGCCATGCCAGGGCAAATGGGCAGCACAGACCACATGGAATTTGTTCACAAGGCAATATTCCTCAGAATCCTGCCTTCTTGGACTACAAATAGTCACTGCATCCAAGAGAAAGAAACTTGCTCCTCCTACTTAATGAAAGACATGGCAGAAAAATGAGGCTTAGCATCATTTTAATGTTAATCCTAGACACACCCACAAGAGCCACCCCTGAATACTCCATGTTGGAGCTTTCAATGGGCAAGCAGAAGTGGTCAGTATAGCAACCCAGAGTGGCCACCCAGAGTAGTAGCCTAGCTACTAGTTGGGTGGGATATAAATGTAAACAACCAAAACTAAGGGTAATTCTGCTGGCTGGCCTTCTATTCTGCCACTGCAGTAGGACTTGCGCTGCTTCCTATGATCCACAATCAGTCAAAGGCATGTAACCTGAGACAGGTAAAAATTTATGCAAATATTATGTTAAAGAAAAGAAATAAGGATGGCAAGTGTTCAATGGAAAACTGCTATCTGGCCAGAAATGAAGGGAAGATTAAAATTCCTCTAACCCAGTGGTCCCCAACCTTTTTAACAGTGCGGACCAGTTGGGGAAGGCAGGGCACTCCCCCCGCGCTCACGCGCAACAGTGGGGAGGTGCTTGTGCAAGCATGTGTGGGCGCATGTGCGCGCATGCGCGAAGGGCAGGGGCGCTCAGGGCACTCACGCCCATGCGCAAAGGGGTGGGGGCGCTCATGGGGGCTCACTTGCATGCATGCGTGAAGGGGCTGTGTCGGGGGGAGTGCGTGCAGGGGTGGGAGGAAGATCTGTTTCCGTGGCCTGGTCTGGCCCAGGCTGCGGACCGGGGGTTGGGGACCCCTGCTTTAACCGACAGAGAAGCATGAATGCTACTTTGAAGCACCTTACTGCTTCATTAGGACCAATGAGTCCTCATTTTAAAAAAGAGGTCCTATTCCTTATGGACTATAATTAAAATAAGTAGTACCATAGTTTCAGTTTCAACTCATTCGATTGAAAATAAAGTAGAGGAGATTTGACAAAAAGACTGTTATTTATTATCTCGTATCCATGCTAAAGAATAATACAGACTCATACATTTCTTTGTATATTGAGACATTTTGCTACAAGATACTAAGGAATGAGGATTAAGAGATGTCTGACAAAATGCACATAAAAAAACCATATGGACAGTGTAAATCCATTGTAGCACCTTATTATATGGCAACATGGCTTGAAAAGAAATTCAACATTATCTTAGTTAAATAGGTGCAATGGATAGATTCAACTTATTTCTTAAATGCTGTCAAGGGTGATATCCAGTATTGAACATGGGAGGGATCTTCAAAACTCGATACTGCAAGCACTGAACAGCCTGCATTCCGTTTTTTGGAAGACAACCTGCTATAGGTTCAGAACATCTTAACAAATTTATTTCTGTAGTAGACAGATAATATACAGTATTGTGCACACAGCTTATACAGAATCTCTCTCTTTATCTTTAGTATATACAAATCCGTAAGGATGAGTACTTTAAAGATAAGATTAAAATAATCAGGCCTCCAGCCACTGGCCAAGAGACCAAGAGTCACTAAGGATGTATCCTCTTTTTGCCAGAACAAACATCACAGAAAAATGGAAACTAATTGGCCCTATTTATCAGCAAGAGAAGGACCTGCTGTTCCAATGCATGGATTCTGATTCTCTTCAAATTCCTTTTTCCTTGCACATCATGTCTCTCATCATAGGCCGGTAGGCAAGGACTCTGTTATCTTGCAATATCGGTGATTATTACTACAGTATTGTTAAAAATAGAACCTAGGTACTCAAATATAAGAAACTAATTATCAAAAAGTTTATCGTGCTTTAATTTTGAGTTTCCCAGAAACGGTTGGTTGGTTATGCACTAACAACTAAAGTGAGGGGTAAGAAAGGAGAACTCTGAAAACCAGGATATTTTAGTGAATGTTTTAACTTGTCCCAAAACTGATTGCACATTTATGATACTTAGTTGTTCGGAGGAGAAAATGCAGGCTTTTAGGCTAATACCCTGGGTAACTGTAGTGGCTGCAAGAACATAGCTTCTGTAGTGGAAATCTGATTATGTTTCTTGTGGATACCGAGCATGAGACAAGCCACCTATTTGCCTGGAGGGTAAATAAAAGCAGATATATATCACAGACAGGGAAAATTTATTTAAAGAGTATGCATTATGTGTGTGTAAGGAAGCTCAAATTCTCATTCAATGTATTTGAGCCTGTACAAAACAGAAAGGATGAGTCTATAATGCTTATAGGGCTAGACAGGAAGACTACAGAAGCAACTATGAAAGAACATACAAAGTATTTCACATTCAAATACTTTACATTCTTTCTTGCTTCTAAAAGTAGAGGAAAGGCTAGAATAATAAGGCAAATTAGTCCATCCGTTGACTAAACCTGCTTAATTCTGCCTGCCCAAACAACCCGTGTGTCCTTTGTGACAGACTGAAAGGATGAAGGGAAAGGATGAAAACTCTTTCCCGGTCCATAGAAGCTTCCTCAACGGGTTTGTCAATAGACCATTCCCATCATCCCAACAAGTCTGCCCTGAAGCAAATGCGTGTGTGTGTGTATATTAGTCCATCCGTTGACTAAACCTGCTTAATTCTGCCTGCCCAAACAACCCGTGTGTCCTTTGTGACAGACTGAAAGGATGAAGGGAAAGGATGAAAACTCTTTCCCGGTCCATAGAAGCTTCCTCAACGGGTTTGTCAATAGACCATTCCCATCATCCCAACAAGTCTGCCCTGAAGCAAATGCGTGTGTGTGTGTATTGTATGAGGAGCCAGTAAAAGGAGATCACATCCTCGTATTCCCATGTGCAGAATCCAGGAAAACCGAGGAAGCTTTCTAACAAATCCCGCCCCTCCTTGATGAGAATAAATGGAGTTGGTGGCCGGGGGGGAAGGGGGAAGAGAGGGGGAGAGAGAGAGATCTTGACTTACAAAAAGGGAGCCCTCGGGCTGCCCATTGGGCGGGGCAGGGAGTGCCTGGCGTGACCCCAGCAAGACAAGAACCCGCCTTTTCGCGCTCGTGTGTATGCCCGTGTCTGCGTGCCCCGGGCGCGCTCGTGCCAAAGGGAACCCCCTTTCCCCGCTTCACCTGAGCTGTCCCCCTCCTCGGACACGGACGAGCTCTCGGACTCCTCTTCCTCGGAGCTGCTCCCTTCATTCTCCCCGTAGTCCACCTCCATCTCATCGTGGTGGTTCTCTTTCTTCTCCCGCGAATGGACCGGCATCGCGCCCGCTTTCCCGCAGACGCCCGGCGTCACCCACTCGGACCGGGACAGCCGCCGCCACCGCCGCCGCCTCCACCACCTCCGACGCCGGCCCAGCCCTCCGACGCGCTCGAAACCCCGCCTCACCGAAACCCCGCCATCCTCCCACCCCACCCCCCACTCCGCCGACAACAAGCTTGAGGCACAACCTAACCCTCAATTCAGCCGCTCATTGGCAGGCGGAGGAGGGGGGCCTCCCTGCAGTCAAAGCGGCGCCTGGCGGAGCGTCCCATGTCCCGGCGCATGTCGGGAAGTGTAGTCTTTCGGGGAGCAAGCGGGGTCGGGGGGAGAAGAGCGGCTGCGCTCCCGAGCTGGACGGAGGAGGACTGAAGAGAGTAGTAAAGCGAGTGGGAGTCCAGGCCCCGACGTAGGAGGATGTTGGAACGGTCTCTTAAGAAGAGATGCTTAAAACTGCCACTCAGCATGAAAGGAAGGCAAGCAACTGGCGAGAAGCAGTTAAAACAATAAACAGCAGGCTGTCCGCTCTTCCCTGCCCTGCACAAAAAAGCTCAAAAGCAGGACCCCAGCAGCCAGTGAGCTCTTTGTGGTGTCTACTTTCCTGGGAGTATTACAGCTTCGGAGGCTGTGGGGGAGAGCAGGGAGAGAAGCAAGCAAAAGAAGGCGGCAGCTGCTCTCTTGGCTTCTTTTTCGTGTTCAGGATGTAGGATTTTCACAATTTCCAAAGAAAGAAGACCATGCTAGTCTATGATGTCAGCATGCTGGCAAAAGCAAAGTGGGGGGGAAATGGGGGGGAGGAGGGCAAAATGTTGCAGGTATCTAAAGACTCTTGGGCCCTCTGCCATACTGTTTTCAAGTTCGTCGTCGTTGTTTAGTCATGTCCGACTCTTCATGACCCCATGTGGACCAGAGCACGCCAGGCCCTCCTATCTTCCACTGCCTCACGGCGTTGGGTCAAATTCATGTTGGTCGCTTCGATGACACTGTCCAGCCATCTCGTCCTCGGTCGTCCCCTTCTCCTCTTGCCCTCACACTTTCCCAACATCAAGGTCTTTTCCAAGGAGTCTTCTCTTCTCATCAGATGGCCAAAGTATTGGAGCCTCAGTTTCAACATCTGTCCTTCCATATAAGTTAAAGAAGCCGGGAACAATATAAAGCCTTGTTGTTCTCCTTTCCCAATTTTGAACCAATCAGTTGTTCCATAGCCAGTTCTGTTGCTTCCTGTCCCACATATAGGTTTCTCAGTAGATAGATAAGGTGGTCTGGCACTCCCATTTCTTTAAGGACTTGCCATAGTTTGCTGTGGTCCACGCAGTCAAAGGCTTTTGCATAGTCAATGAAGCAGAAGTAGATATTTTTCTGGAACTCTCTGGCTTTCTCTATAATCCAGCGCATGTTAGCAATTTGGTCTCTAGTTCCTCTCCCCCTTTGAAATCCAGCTTGTACTTCTGGGAGTTTTCGGTCCACATACTGCTGAAGCGTACCTTGTAGGATTCATATATCCTACCTTGTAGGATTCATATTTTTACCATACCAGTTATATCCTACACTTTGTAGGATTCATATTTTTACCATACCAGTAAAAATTATGCTTAACAGTTATTCTATTATTATACCGTTAAGCCAGTAATGGAATGATTTATGCTTATGTTTGCAAGCCAAACATAACTGCTGTAATTTTAAACATCCTTAGAACTTTCCTGTAAATTTTGACTGTGAAAACTGATTGTGAACAGATTAATTGTGCTGCTTTGGAGAAGTGGGCTTTTTGTTCTCTTATTCTGAGAGCCAGTTTTTTTCACAGAGTACATAAGATACAAATGATGATAAACCATTGCAGTAGAGACAGAACACAAGCTGGCTCTGCTCCCTCCCTCTCTTTTTCTGTCTGAAGTGCAGTGCAAAAATTGCTCTTTGAGAGAATTGTCAACTCCTACATGCCTGGTCTGTCCATCTGGGTGATTTGGTATGAAGATAGGCTCAATTTGAATTTATTTATTTCAGTCGGTTGACCAGTTCATAAAACATATTATACGGCTAAAATATACAAAATCCAATTTAAAATGTGTACAACCAGTTCATAAAACATATGATATGGCTAAAATATACAAAATGCAATTTAAAATTCAACTTTGGAACAACTCACCTGTAGAGATCCACCTGGCTCCCTCGCTTAGGGTCTTCAAGACTAACTTGAAGACATGGCTATACAGGCAGGCTTTCCCTACAGCCATTACCTAGCCTACCTCCCTTTTTCTTTTCTTTTCTCTCTCCTGCTTTTTCTTATTTTTTCTTTCCCATCTTGGACTAATTTGGATTTTATCTTAGTTTATTTTTATATTATATGTAAACTGCCCAGAGTAGACATGTTCTAGATGGGCGGTATATAAATCTAATAAATGAATAAAATAAAAAGGTGTACCACCAGTTCATAAAACATATTATATGGCTAAAATATACAAAGTGCCATAGATGGTCTCAATTAACTCAACCACCCACACCACTCAGTAAGCAAAGAAAGGTGAAAAGGCAAAATAAATGGCAGAATCTCCAAGAGGCACCTACCTTTTACTCCCTCTGAATGGCTATGACCAATTTAACTAGATGGATCACTCTCCAAAAAGCAAAGCCAGATTGGTAGTGGGTGAGATTAGCAGCCATCACTTGCCCAACCCTGACTGCTGAAAAAGGAAAAAGCTGAGCAATTGTATGGACATAGAGGATGACTGGAATAATCACTTTTATGGATATTCTGAAAGAAGATGAGCAGTGGTCTCTACTAAACTCTCACTTTGCAGGAACTTCTGTCTGGTTGCTGTATAAGGTGGTTTGATCTGACTAGGTCCACCCAGAGTAAGGAAGACAGCAGTAACCTGCTTGCTTGGCCTACAGAGAGCAAGGGAAGGAATGAGCAAGTAGTGGGACTTTTAATTCTGAATGAGGTTAGGCTCCTTGTCATGGTTCCCCAGTCAAGCTCCCCTTCTTATAGCTACTCAGACACACTGCTCTTTCTTCATCCTGGGGTGGGATCAACCAGGGAGAATCAGAAGTGGTAAAGACTATGGAAATTTGACTGGGGCAAAAAGAAAACTTTGTGCAGAAGTTAAAACATACACTATAATAATGTGGACAAAAAGAGAATTTAAAAGTTTTGGGAGAAGGTCACAAGGAACCTCAGTTCCCCATTAGGCCCTATCTCTTTTTCTAAAAGCTCGTCGTCATCGTCTAGTCGTTTAGTTGTGTCCGACTCTTCGTGACCCCATGGACCAGAGCACGCCAGGCCCTCCTATCTTCCACTGCCTCCTGTAGTTGTGTCAATTTCATGTTGGTTGCTTCGCAGACACTGTCCAGCCATCTCATCTTCTGTCGTCCCCTTCTCCTCTTGCCTTCTAAAAGCTACTGGCTTGCAGAACAGCAATTCAAGCTGGAATAGTGCTTGAGAATGTTACTTTTGGGATAACAATTCTGATAATACCCCAGCCACCATGGCTGGTGGGAGAGACAGATTAAAAACAGAACTTTTCCAGATTTATCAGTCTGTACAGGACCTTAGATACCCAGTGTGGTATAGTGTTCAGAGTGATAGACTCTGACCACTAATAGATAGTTCAGGAGGCCTGGATTCAAATCCCTGCTTAGCCATGGAAACTCAGTGGGGGTATGGAACTGGTAAATAACACCTTAAATATCTCACCTTGAAAGCCCTATTAAGGTTGGTTCTGACATGATAGCACATAACAACAACAAGCTGTGTCTTGAGAGACGATACACTTTATTTTGCTGTCAAGCAGAACAACTCTATATCTGAGTATTCATGTATTTGCAGAGCACACAGAGGATATTTAATGGAAGAGGGAATTTGGGGGCAAGAAGAAACATAGGGGCACACACAAGATCTGGTATGAGGTATAATTGTTTTACTGTAGGTAAGCAGAAGAGGACAAATGAGGCCTAGTAGAAGGGCATCTCATCTGAAAAAGGAGAATTAGAGACTAGGAATGTATGGCAGCTAACAATCCAAATGCCAGATACGTTAATCTATAACCATAAGATGTTATGTGGCACCTTAGGGACTAACAGACTTATTATATTATTTGTTTTTGTAGGAGCTGAGGTACAGTGAAGGATAAGTCAAGATAAAAACTGAACATAATGTAACAAACATTCCGATTACTGCATTTTTGAAAGAGGCAGCTGTGTAAGTCTGTTTCAGCATGTATAAGGAAACAAAAAAGTATCTTCGGTATAAAACAAATTTATTTCAGTATGATTTTTCAGTTAATTACAAACCACTAAGAGCTCACACTAAAACAGATCTTCTAGTTTTAAAAGTGCTGCAGAATTCACTATGTATGAAAATAAGATGATGTATACAAACTGACTTGAAAGTTATATATACATGATTACTACTTATAAGAATTTAAACAAAAGAAAAAGGATGACCTATTATGTATTGATCACCTATAATCTTGAACAGTGCAAAGCTATTAACTGCAGATCTCTGCAGTTTTTAAATTGCATATTGAAAGCAATTCTAGATTATTCAATGGACAATAATTTATCATTGGTATATGTAACTTAGACTGAGTTACTGTCTAATGGAGTATGGAAGGAGGAAGGTGATCCCATGTACCGGAATTGATCCTGCAACAAAAGTTAACAAAAAATCAGTCATTACCAGCAAACGGGGAAACATATCTGTCGCTCGGTGGTTTCCTGCTGGCTTATCCATCTATGTAGGAACAATGAGATATACAGTACTTGTTTCATTAATATAGCAAACTTCTAACTGATTTATAACAACATGTACAGTGCAAGAGGTAACCCTTAGCAAGTGGGCAGATGGGAACCAAGCAGTGGCTGTTTTTCAGTCCTATGGGAAGCACTCTAGCAATTGCTAAACAACAGAAACTATATTTACTTAAAAACACTGATCTCATTTAGAAAGTAAAACAGTGATTCCTTCACCTGTAACAATCGGTTCCGATATCTGCACAGGAGACAGCAGAAGGCCTTTGTGCCTTATGAGAACTGCACACGCAGTGCTCTGGGATTAAGGAAGTGTCAATGCAGGGATTCCTCCCTCTGCACAAAGGTTAAATGTGGCTGGAAAGATAAGTTGGCTACACAACTACTTAGACTGCAGGCTAGGCAAGC